GAGGGTTTTTTTTTTAAGTTCTCAGTGAGGGGGCCAAGTGGATCTCTGGAGGTGCAACCGCCGAGAAGGCCTGACGCCTAGTTCTCTCCCTTCAGGCGTCTCTCAAGGTGAGCACCCTCAGACATCCCGTCTGGGACGAACAAGGAGGACGAATAAGTTCCTGCTGGAAGAAAGTGTCCGGCCAGGTCCTGAAGGAATAGGGTGCCGTCATATTGATGAGATGCCAACTTGATTGAGCAGAGGAGCTGGGGCTGGCTTTTGTGGACAAGGAAGGTTGATTAGCCTCTGAAGGGCACCGCAAAGGCTACCACAGGATTGGGGGAACCCACAGTTTCCAAAAATACAGTGGTGCCTCGCTTAGCGATTGCCTCATTTAACAATGTATTCGCTTAGTGATGAGGTTTTTGGAGCGATCCTGCGCTCCGTGTAGCAATGTTTCCAATGGGAAAATTTCTCATAGCGATGTTCGGGACCTTGCCTCGCTTAGCGATGACAGTTTAGGTCCCCCTGTTTCGCTTAGCGATGTCCGTTTTTGCTATTTTTAAAGTGTCTTAAAATGTTCAAAAACTTGTAAAACCTTTGCAAACTTAATTTGGCTTTGTTCTGACTCTTCGTTAATTTTTGGTGAATTTCCCCCCCCCTATTGGAATGCACTGAACCGTAGGTTTGACAGCTGTCAAACCTACAGTTCAGTGCATTCCAATGGGGCGGGGGAAATTCACCAAAAATTAACGAAGAGTCAGAACAAAGCCAAATTAAGTTTGCAAAGGTTTTACAAGGTGCACTAACAATTCCAAGCATTTAAAACAGTTTTTGAACATTTTAAGATACTTTAAAAACAGCGAAAACGGACCTGTCAAAACCATTGAAATGCATTGAAACCTATTCAATGCATTCCAATGGGGGAACCGCATTTCGCTTAGCGATGTGTCCTATGGCGATTTTTGCTTAGGGATGGTAATCCATTCCCATTGGAACGGATTATCCGGTTTTCAATGCATTCCTATGGGATATGGTGTTTCGCTTAGCGATGTTTTCCCATAGCGATGTTTTTTGAACCAATTAACATCACTAAGCGAGGCATCACTGTAATTGGCTTGATTTGTGTCCTAGACCCTGAGTCCCCACATGTTTTGCCCCCACTTTTCATACAAAACCGACTACGACCTCTGATGCAGGGCTTTCCTTATTCATGTAGCCACTTCTCCATCTATAGTTCATTATGGGTTTCCCATAAAGTCTTCTGCTACACACATTGCATCAGGGACATGCAGTTATATTGTGATGGTTGATTTATGTGCTATCTTAATGTATGCAGAGGAAGGCACTTTGTTATATTAGGAAAATAAAGAGCTACAGTTGTTTCTTTTTTACTGTTCTTTGGGGAGGGACAAAATATATATTTAGCCTTTGCTGACCGTTCAGCTGTTGATGATCACGAATTACAAAATTTGTAAATAAGATAATTTATGTTCTCTTCAATTCTCAAAAGGTACATAAAATGTTGACTGGAATCCAATTGGCAGCGCAAGGAAGAACTTGCTCATACTCCAGTATTGCCATTAATCTCAGGTTATGACTATGAATACAGAAACCCCACATACTCTGCGCCTGACTTATGCCTCGAATATTTGTTGGCTTTATACCATTTTAATAGTTATGACCTCACCTTCAGGATTCTTTTGGAGCAGAAAGGGAATGTTCTTTGTCTTCTCCCTCAAAATTATAGTTTTCAGAGTTTGTTGCAAAAGAAGAAATGGCAATTGATCCAGTTCTGTCTTGAGACAGTATTAGAGGTACTGTAATTTAGGGTACTAAAGAATAGCGGCTACATTCTTTATTTTCATTGATTTTAGTTGTGCCAAATTTATGGGCAACATTGGGAAGAAATTTTCAAGCCGTGTGAAAATTCATGTCTCTAGGCGAGATTGAAACAAAAGGCATTATTTATTTTGCCCCGTTGCCTGATCGAGGTCTCTGTAATCAGTGCAAACTAACTGTGCAAAACCAACACTTTTCATTTTTGGAAGCAAAACACATGCATGCTGCAAGCACACAACAACTGACTGATTATGTAAGGAAAAAAAACCTTCCGATAGTTAAAAGTTCGCAGTACAGTAGTCATTGTTATTTTATGCAGCTTGTATTATTTTCATTAAAGAGTTACTTGTACAGTTTGTATAAAAATTAGGTCTCAGTCTGTTCAGAAAGCTCCATAACACACCTCACACTCTGGGAGGGTAATTCTGTGATTCCGAAACAAGAATCCCTATTGCATCTTTGCTTACATCCGTCTAGAGACAGGAATGTGTCCAGAGGACGGCGACTAAAACTGTTAAAGGTCTGGAAACCATGTCCTACGAGGAACGGCTTAGGGAGTTGGGAATGTTTAGACTTACAAAAAGAAGGTCAAGAGGGGACATGATAGCCATGTTTAAATATTTGAAAGGATGTCATGTTGAAGAGGGAACAGGTTTGTTTTCCAGAGCTCCAGACACTAGGACACGGAGCAATGGTTTCAAACTATAGGAAAAGAGATTCCATCTGAACATCAGGAAGAACTTCCTGACGGTCAGAGCTGTCCGGCAGTGGAATAGGCTGCCTCGAAGGCTGGTGGAGTCTCCTCCTTTGGAGGTTTTTAAGCAGAGGCTGGATGGCCATCTGTCGGGAGTGCTTTGATGGATGTTCCCGCATGGCGGGGGGTTGGACTGGATGGCCTCAGTGGTCTCTTCCAACTCTATGACTGTGTGATTCCATCCATGCCCAGTTTTGCCTATACCACTATTGTAACTCTGTATTTGCATTTGTTAATAGGATGTCATCATGATTTTAGTAGTAATGTCAAATTCGCGATTATGTTGAGAGAAATTATTATAAGAGAAATGCTAGTGTAACAGTACATTGAACAACAAAATCCCGTATTAGAGAGCATTTGCTGTTTCCACCTTTTGACAAGACAGTTTATCTCTCTTTATCTCAGAAAGAGAGGTCATTTCAACCTCATCGTCCTCACAAAGAAATGAAACATGAATAATGCAGCAACTTTTAGAATAATTGAACATTTGGCCTTGAGACTAGTTTTAGCAATATTTAACGAATTCCCGTTTATTCCAGATAAGAATGCATTCTCTTTCAAATTAGAGACTTCCATGAGTAATTATATAAAATGATATGTTTATTTACACCCTTAAGTCACATTTAACTTATTTTCTGTGATTTTATTTTTTTAAAATGCTCCATTTCATTATGTCAATCTCTAATTTACTGTGCTAACTAGATGAACGTGCTGTTACTGTTTGAAAGACAACTTATTCATAGTGGGTAATAAAATTGCCCCTTATTATTGTGATGCCTTTCCTTACGCCTGCTGTCAGGAAGACAAGAGAGGCTTGCATGCAGCGCTGAGAGGGGGAGAAAAACCTCTGATGTATTGTATTAGTCTAGACAAGAGATTTTTTCTCGTTCTGATAATGAGCCTGCCTTAACTAAGAAGAATAGGGAATAAAATTCAATTCTTCATACTTAAATTGGGGTAGCATTAGTGGGAGGTGAGGGAAATAGAAATAAATAAACCTGTGAATGGATATTTGGCTGAATGAGCAATTTGTATATCTATACAATCGTAATTATGACTGCCAGGGATAAAACAGAAGCCTGTCTAATTCAGCCTTCGTTAATGAGATCGGAAACATTGGGGAATTTAGCTTGGTCAGCAAAAATGACATTTATCTGCAGCATTCCCAGCCTGCAAGGAGTTTAGCTCAGTGTATTGGTCCTCATCCAGCCCAGAAGCCAAGTTCGAACCTGAGTCAAGGACCTGTGTGGTTGTACCCTATTCAGATGTTACAGGAAGAGAGAGGTCCATGTCATCCACATGCTGAGGGCATTTTGCTCCCAGACCCCTACTGCTACCAAAAGCTATATAGAGAGAATATTAAACATCGCTATAAACAAGATGGAGTGCACATCTCAGTGGCCCAAGGCTATAAGAATAATTGCTGGTTCAGAAGAGTGTTGATGGATCCGCAATCCCCACTTGCCACCAGTAGAGGGGAACATTCTGTTTCCAGTTCTGTCACTCTCCTACATGTAGCGAGTGACTACTCCTAATCTGAAGATAAGACTCCGCTATCCATGGAGCCACCGTGTGTGTTGGGACCCTTGAAAATCAGCATTCTGAAACAAAATTGGAAACTAATTTATGCTTGGGCCAAGAAAAAGACAGGAGTATAGCGTAACATTTTATATGTTATATTTTCAATGCTCACCGGAAACCTATTGGAGAAAGAGAATGCATTCTTATCTATTGGAGAAATCCGAGATCCAAACGAGGTTGGAATCTCTGTCCTTAAAGGGGAGAGGGTTTGTTTTTGCTTAATGCTTTTAAAATATTTTTTGTTGTAGTTGCTGATTGTTTGATGATTTGTTTAAGTGGATGGCTTTATTTTCTACAGCTTTGTTGGGACAAGTGATAATCTAACATAACACACAAGAGTTTACCTTCTGGTACATCAACACAATTCCTATTGTGTGGGTAGAACTCAATATACTTAATAATAATCCAGTATAAAACTAGTTGTCTTCTCAAAGTTAATTAAAGCTATTCTGCTTTTTTTTTTGATAAACAGGTCTCATAACCACAACATCAAGAAAATTGGTCAGCCCCAAGCGCCGCCCTCGCTTTGCGACGATTGGGGCTCCGGTGGCCATTTAGGAGCCGCCGATCAGCTGATCGGCGGCTCCAAAATGGCCGCCGGAGCGAAAACATCGCTGGAGGGGGTAAGTTTAGACACTTATTGGAACGCATTAAACTAAGTTTAATGCGTTCCAATAGGTTTTCCTGCCCCACACAGCGATGTTTTCGTATAGCAAAGGTTAATCCGGAACGGATTAACCTCGCTATACGGGGCACCACTGTATACTTAATAATAATCCAGTAGAAAACTAGTTGTCTTCTCAAAGTTAATTAAAGCTATTCTGCTTTTTTTTTTGATAAACAGGTCTCATAACCACAACATCAAGAAAATTGGATCGTGAACAGCAAGCAGAACATTTCCTTGAGGTAAGAGGAGATGGACATGTGCTCTAAAACATGGCTAAGCAGACTAGGGTTCAAAGTATGTATATACCAGTGAGTGTTAGTGTGTGTGTTTTACTAAAAGTGCACAATTTTCTGCTTCACAAATAAGTCTGATTCTTGCACATCCCCCTTGATTCCCTTGTTCACTCTTGATTCTACCCTCATTTCGGATTTGGCGACAGTACATTTTAATGACATTCGGATCTGCCCACAAACCATATTTTTGTAAGTTCTGACACCAATAGCAATGAGGAAATCCAGGCTTAAAAGCACTGAACTGTCTTCCAGGAATGAAATAATAGTAGCATACGATGTTCTTCTTGTGGTCTCTGTGAAATCACACATACAGATTCATTCTGTGCCTGTGCAAACATCCTTGAGATCTTCTAGAGCCTAGAAAACGATTAAGACATGCCATCTTCATTGCCCATGTTTCGCATCCAGAGGGCAGCCTTTTTGGTCACCACGGAGAGAAACCCTCAGGGGTTTTCTTAGATACCACCATCACTAGATTTCTCTCAAGCTGTATGTATATAGTTTTTCATACCTTTCTTCCATGCCTTCAGCTTTTCTCTTCCTCATTCCAAAAATATTGTTTATTATTTAATCGTCATTCATGGTTACTGGCTATCCCCATCTTTTATGGCCCCATCTGGCCCATTCTAAAGATGTGTGAGTTGTAATTAGAGATGAATGAGAATATCCCTGTCCCAAGTGAGCCTAATAGAGGTATGGCCCACAGAACCAGCCTGTCCACTCATGCTTTGCTGTGCCACCAGCTTCCCGTTTCTCCTACCAATTGCAGTAGTAGCTCCGGCATCTCCCTGCTCGGCCGGCCACTCTAAGCAGGGGGTGGAGGATAAATCTCCCTGCATTGCTGCTGAGTTGTAGCTGTAATAATAAACTCTCCTTTGCTGAAAGACATTCAAAGTGTTTATATTACCTTGGTGATGGACATCAACCACAAAGCTGATTGTTTAATCATTAAGTCGTGTCCGACTCTTCGTGACCCCATGCACCAGAGCACGCCAGGCCCTCGGGTATTCCACTGCCTCCCGGAGTTGGGTCAAATTCATGTTGGTAGCTTCAGTGACACTGTCCACCCATCTTGTCCTCTGTCAAAAATTGATGAAGGGAGCCATTAGGAACCACCAAATATCCCTGGGATTTTATCTGTGGGAAAATCACTGCAGGCTGTTGATATAGTTGAAGCAACTTCCATTCCTACAGCTTTGGTCTGTAAATCTCTGATGGAGGTTCTTCAGACCAATTCCACCTGCTGTTGAGGAGCAAGCTACTCAGATAGACCCTAGCCAGTCAATTCCAAGGCCAAACCTTGAAACTGAGAATAGGCCTTCCACTTTTAAATCATTGATACCACCAACATGGATACAGAAAAGAAAGAAGAGGTCTACTGATCCCGACCTTAAGTCAAAAAAGGGACCAGATCAAGAACTCAAAGAGCCAAACACTTCTGCCCAAAGTAGGAGGGAGAGGAGTCCTGGGATCAGGCATTGTCCACAGACTTTAGCCAATTGCCCAAATAGAGCCCGTTTGCCCAGGAAATGCTAGGCAAGTTATCACCACCCAGTTGAGAGCTTCTACAGGAGAAGAATCCCTTATTTGTTAAGAACAATATTGGGTGTCCTTCTCAATGTTGGGTTTCAACCTTCAGGATAAATGCTCTACAATGGTAAACAGACTGTTGAAATGTCGACACTGGCCGATGGAGGAGTTGAGATACCTTCCTCAGTTCTTCACTAGCACTGTACTCTACTTGTTTCCCAACACTAAGTGGATAATTAGCACAATATCTTTATGCTACCAACTAGTACAGAAGCTACTGCCTAGTTCCCTGAAAGGGCATTCTGCTAGAGTGGTTGCTGCATCCATGGCATTTCTCAGAGGAGCGCAACTGAGAGGTATTTGCAAGGCAGCAACCTGGTCTCAGCCTTTGACATTTGCCACATATTATAGACTGGATGTCTGGGCTAAACTTGATGCTGCATTCAGCAGAACGGTGATTTCCTGTGTATTGGTGTGACATTCTGCTACTGGTAAGGGGAGTTACCAGTCCCTCATGTGTGATTTCACAGAAACCACAAAGAAGAAAGACAGGTGGCTTACCAGGCATGGTGGACGTGGTGGCGCTGCGGGCTAAACCGTAGAAGCCCCTGTGCTGCAGGGTCAGAAGACCAGCAGTCGTAAGATTGAATCCACGCGACGGAGTGAGCTCCCGTCGCTTTGTCCCAGCTCCTTGTCAACCTAGCAGTTCGAAAGCATGCAAATGTGAATAGCTAAATAGGTACCATCTCGATGGGAAGGTAAAACGGCGTTCCCTAGTCGCGCTGGTCACGTGACAACGGAAACTGTCTTCTGACAAGTGCTGGCTCTACGGCTTGAAAAAAGGGATGAGCACCACCCCATAGAGGTGGACACAACTGGACTAAAAATGTCAAGGGAACTTAACCAGTAATTGTAGTTCTTCAAGTGGTCATCTGTGAATTCACACAACCTGCCCATTTCCCCTTCAGTCTGCCACACAACTCTTGGTGTTTCTGAATCAGTAGCATACTAAGAGAACTGCCCTCAGGATTGGGAGGGAATGTGGTGTAGGGGGCATGTCCTAATATTTTTTCTAGGCCCTAGAAACAGTGGTTTCCAAACATGGGTCCCCAGATGTTCTCAGAGTAAAACTCCCAGAAGCCTTCACCACTAGCTGTGCTGGCCAGGATTTCTGGGAAATGTAGTCCAAGAACATCGAGGGACTCAAGGTTGGGAACCACAGCTCTTGAAGATTCCCATATGTGCAAAACAAACCTCGCAGATGACCACTCAAAGAATTCCAGTTACAGGTAGCAACACACATATAAACCAGTTGCGCATAAGTAGAGTCTCATTGTGTCAGCATCCCAAAATATACTGATACCTTCACTGGATTTTGAGGGGAGTGATTGTCACCATTGCAATAATGCTACTCTTTATTTCCTTCCTTTCTTTGCTCCTCCTCTTCCTGCTTCATCAGCCTGGTTTGTTTGGGGGTTTTTTTGCCTCTTTTCTGTCCCAGACTTAAACTCCTTGATTTTTTTTTGTTTTTTGTTTGTTTGTTTGTGTTTTGAGATTTTAACTTCCCAAGTTCCATACAGAAAGGGACAAAAAGTGGCTGATGTATTTGATGGCCAGAGGGGATGTCATAAATTTAAGTTCAGGCCTTCATCACGCCGGTACCCATATCCATAATGGAAGGAACGAAACAGTGTTGAAGTGGAGCCAAGATTCACAGTGTTGAAGAGCCGGAACATGTTGATTAGCAGAGACGTAATTAGTAATCTCTTTCTGAGTGGAAGCACAATCCTCACAGCATAGTGGGGAATGGTATGGATTTGCCCTGCAGCAATTCTGTTGTTGCAGCCTCTCCCTAGTGTAATGAAAAGTTTGTAGCTAGCTTGGTCTTAACTGGACAATTAAGACCTATGAGCTTTTTTAAAACATACCATTGGTGGATGTGAACACTGCTAGAAATGATTTGGTGATATGGGTCCTTATAGCTGCATGCGATGTTTGACTCCCCTTTTTTAAAAACAGTTTTCACTGACGAAGAAAAGTGACTAACTGAAATTATCTTACCACAGAAATCTGTGCACTAATTAAGAGGCTTTATATCTTTTATTAGCCTTGGGCATAGGCATGAAACATAGTGAACAGAATATTTCCTGAAAGTATCCGTTAATTATTATTTTTTAATGGGATTTGCTTTTTAATTGGGAAAGAAGTTGCAAAGTAGGTGATTCATTATAGTTCAGCTTCAGTTATTTGAGCGTGGTTGATTTACATGGGGAATGTTAATAGGGAATCTGGTACCTGTTGCTTTTGAAGATAAGCCCAAGGTCCCCCTGTCACAGTCTGTCTGAACACAGAAAAATCAAGGAAGGATGATTAGTACCCTGAGGCTTCTGAACCTTTATGACTAGAAGAAGCCAAATTATTGACTGGCAGATGCAAAGAATAGAAGCCCAGATTGGCCTCTTGCGCCCACCCCCATATTAAGAACCCATTAACATTTGTCCTTTTGACAGCAACTTTTTCTCAATAATGAAAACAAACAGGCGGTTGACAGTTCAAGGCTAAGTCATCTGAAGGGGAAGGGTTCCTTTTATGACACTTGCAGAGCGTTTTTTTGTGAACTGTATGGCTATTAACGTGGTTAATTAACCTCCTGGGGGAACCCTTAATTGCCAGAATAACCACAGTGTCCCCATAGAATCACTTTAGCCCTCCGGAATGATTTCATACTCTTCCTCCCATTAGAGTCTGATTGACGTAAAAAGAGAATAAAATTGGCTCCCTATGAAAAGATAGTTGACTAGGCTTTGACCTGAAAGCTTCCGTTTTTCCGCTTCCATGGTGCGTGTGCATGTGTGGAAGGAGGGGACTTTGGCATTGATGGGACCCCGTGAATATGGAGGTCCTTTAATTATTTCTTAAAATAAACCTGATTTCCTCTAAATCTGACTGTGACATAGTACCCATAAAGCTTTTTATTTAGCCCATTCATAGCCTTCAATGCAAGGCTTGAACAAAATGAAAGAGTTTTGTAAAAACTGTAAAAGCAATGGTGAGGACAGCTAAGAGCAGTGAAAATGGGCGAGTGGGTTACTACTCCTGAGAGGACAATTTTGGTGAGTTGTTCATTATAGCTTAAGATAGGTTTCCTAGATAATAGCGGTCTCTTGGACCAAAGCATAGTACTGTACTAAACATTTGAAGATAGGATTTATGTATTTATCTTTTAGAAAAGTATCCATATTTTTTCCATAGGTACTTAATGTCAGTCTTGAAAATTACTGTGAAATTAATAGCCCCCGCCCAAAAAATGTTTTGGGCGGGGGCTATTGTTGTTATGTTGTTATGTACAGTATCATCAAGTGGGAACTAACTTATAGTGACCCTAATAGGGCTTTCAAGATAAGTGAGATATTTAA